GATTAATAATTTTATAGTCTTTAATTAATATAATTTCTTACTATCTATTCTTCTAGAGTATAAGATAGTTCTTTAACTTAATATATTCTATTTCCTTAGAGTATATCCTAATAAAGGATACTATAGGAGGTTCTATTAGATCTTCTCTATTATAAAGTTCTTCTTCTTTATTTAGTAGTAGTTAGGTTCTAAAGTCCTAATCTTTATTAGAGTGTATATTATATTCTACTTATTAATTAGTGTCTAAGAAATATTCTTTACTATTAACTATAATAATATTATTAGTTAGTAGGTTATTATAGTTTATTATGTTTAATCTATAATTTTCTTTAATTAGTTTCTATTACTTCTTAAGTGCCCTATACTTATTTATAAAGTGTCCTAGCTTTCTATAGTTATAGTATATCTTATTAGATTAAGTTTAGCTCTTATATATAATATTAAGTTCTATAGAGCCTAAGTGTATTCTATAAGCTATAGATCCTCTATAATATCTACTAGTATTAGCCTATAGTAGTAATAAGTGGTTTTATTATCTAGTACTTTATTCTCTATAATTAAGTCGCCTAGTATATAACTAATTATTAATCTTAATAATCTTCTTAATAAATATATTAAAGTTATTAAGTTAGTCTTCCTTAGTGATTTTATCCTTTATATCTTCCTTTAGTCTATTATAGAAGAGTTCTATTTAACTATTATTATCCTAATTAATATAGGTAGTAATACACCTAAACTCTTATATATAGTACTAGGTAGATCTAGTCTACTTTAATGACTTAAGTTTATATATTATAGTTTAAATCTTATTTAAGTTACTAAATATAGTTTATAATAGTTCTTTAAAATTCTTATATTTTATAAAGATATATATAGTATTATTATTAGGTTTTTTATTATTAAAGTAGTCCTAGAGAGTTAGCTCCTACTACTCTATAGCTTTACTAGTAAGAAGGTTTTCTATATAAAGGATCTTTATAGATTCCTTAGTAATAGAGTTATTAACTCTAAGATAGACTTTAGCTTAAGTTAAAAAAGTATAAATATCTTCTTTAATCTATTAAATATATTAAGTTTAGAAAACTTTAGTATTATTACTTTTAGTTTAGGTAGTATAGTAGTCTTAAGTTTTATTTCCTCTAGTTATATATAGAGGTACTTAACCTTAGTATTAAGGTTAGTAATTTTAGCTACTAGGTTAATAACTATAGTTACTAGATTAGTATCTATAGCTATTAGGTTAGTAGCTACTTATTAGGGCCCTATTAGGGCACCTGTTAGAAGCCCCTATACTATATGTATTAGATGCGTAGGAGCACCTATATAATAGCGAGCTGCCGCTAAGCTCCCTATAAGGAGGCAGCGATAATTCCACATTCATAAAAATACATAAAGGATTATTATGTGACTAGAGTCCTTCGAATGAAGCACCTTACACTACTACTACTATATTAGTATTCTTACTACTAATAGTAGATATTATAAAAGTTAACTACTTATAATCTTAAAGGTAACTTACTAAATAAAACTAATTAAAATATAATAGTAGCTTAATCCTAATCTATAGTTAGTCTACCTCTTAAGTAAAGAGTTAGTTTAAATATATAAGTGTATATAAGTAGTTATTATAGTATAAATTATATTAAGAGATATCTCCTAATAGTAGAGCTATTATTTAGATTAATTTATAGAGATTTAGACTACGTAGCTATAAGAATACTTCCTCTTTAAGTACTTATCTATCTCTCTACTATAACTCTTATAACTCTAGATTAAGGCTTAACCTTTAATCCCTTAGATCCTATCCCTAGATTAATAGCTTAAGTCCTTAATTCTAAGGGATGTTATATAACCTTCTATCTTTCCTAAGTACTAGTATATTAAACACTAGTTTATTTTACTTAGCCCCTATATATATATTATACTATTTATAATATATAGTAAGGTTATAGTAAAGTAGTAACTACTTCTCCTCTTTCTCCTCTTTCTCCTACCTAAAGTTAAGTAGAGTAAGTACTATACTAGGTAGGGTCTAATAAACTAATAGACACTTATATAAGTTAACTATAAAGTTATAAAGAGAACCTATTATACTTACTATAAAGGAGTATATAATACTAGTATAATAGTATACTATATATATAATAAAAAACTATATATATATAGTAGTATTAATATAAACTCTATACTTAGTTATTATTTTAATATAATAATATTTTCCTTATAAAGTTTTAATAACTTTCTTAGTATCCTCTAATAACTTTATTAGTATCCCTTAGGATCTTCTTACTCTATAAAATTAAGGACTTATCCTAATAATAAATTAATAATAAACTTATTATAAAAATAAATATAACTTACTACTTTACTATAATAGTGTATAGTCTAAAGGGTAGTAAAAACTTACTACTTACTTATAGTAAGAGTAAAGCACTTTTATACACTATCTTAGTACTAAAAGTACTTTTTAGACTAATCTATACTTATATAAACTAATTATAAATTTATTATAAATTTATTACTTACTATTAGTCTTTAAATAATACACTAAAGTAGTATAATTAATAAAGTACTATAAGTAGTAGTAGTAGTTAGTAGTATAACTTTATAGTGAATTAGTAAGAGTGTTATAGTAAAGAGATAAGTACTTATAAACTAGTATAAATAAAGTCCTTTTTATTATTACTTAAGTAAAGAAGGATAGTACTATATAGTAAATTAGTAATAGATATATATAAAACTTATACTAACTTATTTAACTAGAAATTCTAAAGTAATAATAATAGTAGTAGAGGACTTATAAGGAGTTAGTAAAGTTACTATAAAGTTATATAGTATTAAATAAAGAGAATAAAAATATAAGAACCTTATATATATATAATAAAATTATATTATACTTATAGTAAGTATTAATAAAGTCTTTTATATTTAAACTAAAAAAGTAATAAGAAGAAAGTAAAAGTAAAAAATATATTAATAAAAAGAATAAAGAAAAAAGAAAAGCCTAGTAAGAGAATAGTAAGAGAGTAGTATAGAAGTATAATAGTAGAGACTTATTTACTTTAAAAATAAAAAAGTAATAAGAAGAAAATAAAAGTAAAAAATATATTAATTAGAAGAAAGAAAAGAAAAAGAAGACTTAAGTAAAATATAATAATTATATAGTAAAAAAGTAGTATAATTAAATAAAAAAAAAAGAGGACTAATTATAAAGTATATATAAGCTACTAAATAAATAGTAAAAGTAAAATCACTAAATTATATATAAGGAACCTATAAAGGCCTAGTATATTTAATACTATTATATATATACTTAATAATAAGTGTACTAAGGATAGTGTATAGGAAGGAAGGGTAGTCTATTAGGGTCCTATTAGGGCACCCATTAAAGCCCCTATATTATATATATTAAGTGTATATAAACACTTATATAATAGTAAGCTACTACTAAGCTCTCTATAAAGAGGTAGTAATAATTCTATATTTATAAAAATATAAAAGGGATTATTATATAACTAGAGTCCTCTAAATAAAGCACTTTATAACTTAGGACTTAGGGTTAATTAAGTTTCTCTATAAGGTTATTAACCTACTTAGTAAGTTAAATAATAGTCTACTCTAGGTTAGTAGTATTACTATTAATAGTAGATATTATAGAGGTTAACTATTTAAGGTTTTAATATAACTTACTAAATAGGACTAATTAAAATATAATAGTAACTCTTCTCTAATCTATAGTAAATCTATTTCTTAAAAAGTAAGTTAGTTAAAGTATATAATAGAGTATAAATAAATAGTATTATAGTATAAGTTATATTAGGAGGTTACTCTAAAAGTACTACTTAAATTAATTAGTAGAGATCTAGTCTAGCTATCTACTAGAAATCCCCTTCTTTATATATCTATTCTATTCTCTACTATATTACTTAGATTATTTAGCTTACTTTATAATCCTAGTAATCCTAGATTAATACTAGATTACTATAATCCTTAATAATCTAGTTATATAACTGGTTCCTTTATTCCTACGCCCTCATAAGCGCCCTATGGTCACTTCTTTAGGCCGCCCTACCCCTCATCTGCAGCACCTTAGTGCGTCTATAACAATAAGGTGCTAAAAGCGAATTGAGTGGAACTTTTGTCGAGCCACTGTAGCGTCGACATCCGCACGGGTGAGGGCCGTTACAGGCGAGGAAGTTATAGCCCTAGGCTAATGCGGGCGCACTAAATCGCGAACCATCCCTCACTGCCTAGTTAAGCTGTAGCCGCCGTTAAAGATGGTTATTTTACGTGGCTTATCCGTCTTATCTATCGCGATAAAGTAGCCTAGTAACGTCGTCTTTTCGTATAGGATGGTGACCGCTTTATAGGCATACAGAGATAACACTATAGCCTTTTTAAAGTGCGTCTCTAAATACGTGTATAGGAGCTACGCGAACTCGTCCTCGTCATTATTCTCCCGTCGGAGGAATTCCGCCGTCCGAAAGTAGCTGGACGCCTGCAGGTATGAGTGCTTTGCGCTCTTGTTGTTCTTCACGGAGATGGAGCACTCAGCAGCTTTTTTCCGTTTGTGCACCCAATCATCCTATTATGCGAAGGGGGGCATGGAGCGAACGATAGGATGACGAAGGCCTCTGCGTCGTATAGTGACAGGGAAAGAGTTGTAATCTAATATGCGATTTAGCACTTTCTATAGAGTAATAAATGGAAATGGCTTCGAGTTAAACTATTACGTTATACCTTGCATAGATAAGTAGTTAATGAGCGTGATTAATTAGCCATTTATTAAATTTGACTCTGAGTCTATATGAGATGGCATGTCTAAAGACAGATTAAATATGGTCCCCCCCAGTAGATACATGGTAATGTTGAATAGCCTGCATCATGAAAGGCCTCCAAGAGCCGCAGAACTCTGTTGGAGCAGTTCGTGCAGCATCTAGCAACTCGGATACCTCGTTTTCCGATCCCTTTCCATTAACCAAGAGGCCAAGTACACTCCCCTAGCTTGTTCTAGACACGGTAATGTCAAACTCGGCCACTTTGCCCAGTGTCTCATCCCAGTACGGGCCGACTTGGTAGAAGTTGGCTCGGACCTTGTACCTTCCGGGCTGGAGCTTCTCTTGTTGACCAGCAATGTTGAATGACTGGCGGGTAGTCTCTCCTGAGCTGAACTTCCAAAAATTCGGCTTGGAGTCGACTCTTTTCAAGTCCAACCCAACTGTCACATAGGAAGGATAGTAATCTTTCTCGTTATACCAAGCCGATCCCCACAAGTACTGGGACCTTTCCCGGAACACGGTCAACTTGAACACATCTGTTTGTGTCGGAAGGCAGAATCGGACTTTGGACCAGGTCCAGTCGTCGTGACCATACCATTCATACCACTGGCTGCAGTCATATGTAGTTACGGCCTTTGTTTCTGGGTCTCTGAGCGATTCCAAATGGCCAGAGGCCTTAATCTCAACCTGGGAAGACTCGGCGGCCTAAGTATTTCCCGTTAGCGCTGATAAAAAATCAGAACCAAGTCACTTACCAAGCGTGGGGTCCATTTCTTGTAATAATCATCGGAGAGCTGGAACAGTTTTTTCACTGTTTCCTGGGCATTGTCTGGACGCTTAGCGGTCTCTCGAATCTAGTATCTTGTATTAGTATGCGAGTATAGATGTGAGCTGACAAGAGACATACCCAGTTCTTTTGGGCATCGATTAACCGGATTTCGTCCTGCTGAATCTGACGGTCCTCCTCTTGGCTCAAGGTTTCTTCTATAACAACAAGTTAGTATGTTTCATTGACGTTGACAAGAGTTATGGGCATCTTACGCTTCTGCAGAGTCCTTCGCAGTTCCGTGTTCTTAACCATCCCTCCCAAGACCAGGTAAGATATCGCTCCCGCAGTAGTGTAGTGCGGTATGGATTGCTTCTGAGGGAAGTTTCCAATGTTCGTATACCGATCAAGAAGAGCTTCGTACCGGTAGTCCTGACCGCAAGCCATATCGAGAAACGTGTCTGCCCATGATTTGGCGGTTTCAAATATTTGTTGAGCAGAGTTTTGCTGGTCGGAAGGTTCTGAACGGCCTTGTAGCTGTCTGCCGATATCACCTTGATAAAAGATCTTGACAGTTACTTTTGCCTTCTTGCTCAACCTCTCAAGCTTGTTTTTGACCTCAGTACTAAGTGTACCTGAGACTCCCCAGGCACCGAATGAGGCCTCAGCACTAGAAAACGTTAGTCCGTAACATTCGGACTGATAACCTCGAGACCTACTCAGTCTTGATTTCCTCCTTGTCAGATGATTCGTCAAATGTAAGCATAATTCGAGCCATCAGTTTACCGCCCATATCGAAACCTAGTACAGCAATTAGAATTGTGCTTTACCATGAAGAAGACCACGTACCTCGTATGAACCGGTTTCCATAGGTTGTAGGAAATGGTCTCTCGTTGCCCTCATAATGTTGAGAATTGAATGTAAATATTTCCTCGGGAACTCGGCGCTGTTTGTTGATGCTGATTGACGCAATGAAGGTCAATGTATTGGATGAGAATGCCGACTCATCAAGATAGCCGCCTGACACAGAAGCTGATTGACCATAACCTGAAATAGTTGCCGCCGCATTCACGCCAAGAGCCTTCAAGTAAGATGTGTAGTCCGATACAAACTCAACGTGCGATTGAATCTCGGCTGGGCATGCTTCCATGGTTATCTTTTTGTCGGAAATCACTTTACTGCCGCCGTCCCTCTTTTCCTTATCAGATGAAGCATTCTCTGCCTCCTCAATGATTTTGGCAAGCTCTTCTAACGTGGTTGCCGCGAAATATTCATTCGGACTCACGCCAGGCATGATTGGAGCTGGCTCTGTGAAATGAAACGTGCCATTTGAGTTGTTGTCGCCAGGTTCTTCGGATCGCTTGGTGACAGTGTTTGCGTTTTTGTCGGAGATCATGATGGCGTCGTGAAGTAAACCTTGACCAAGAAAAGTATTATACCTACTGCACTTAGTACTTTAGGCTTCAAATGTCACCGTCGACTTTACCCTTGTCCCATTGTCAATCCGTCTTGATATGGCACATTGATTGCTAGCGACGGCCTGATACAGCCGGCTAGCCAGATGGCCTTTCCAATAGATGGATAGGCTTTCATTGTGTCAAATGATGCCACTGATAAGAATCGCAAACGCATGCTTGATCAATAATTGATATGAACAGCGCGGGTCGTTAGCCTTGAATAGAGAGATGACTTGGTAAGGTTGGCGCTACTCAAAAATTCTGAAGAAGATGCGTTTCCCAGAAGACTTATATACTCAAAGTTACAAGGGCACGAGGAATGTGACGTGCGAGCTGAAAAAGTCTATGATTTGTCACGACAATAACAACTTTTCATTATTCACATCTCCGTGTGCTCTTCCTTTACATATCATATTGGTTCGACATGGTACATTGCCTGATTTAGGCGGGTTCAAGTTTGATATTTCCACTTTGTATAGAAGGCGTTAATACTCGGCCAAAAGGGGCGAGGGTATACCGTAATCCTGTTCAGGCCATATTACGGGTGGTGGATTAGTATAGTCAGGTGAGGCTTAGGGCACCTAATAATGCGTCCCCGCATCAGACCTTGTCGGCGGCTTAGAACCTGTCATAGCTATCCTGGCGCCTTGAAGCATTATCGGAGTGCCCGCCAGCACCTACCCGCATGCTACCTATATGCTATGATCCATGTTTTCTGGAATCACCATCTGCCCCTGTCGACGATCTGTCTTGTCACGCGCGGGGCACCTTCATCACGGGCAGCTTCCGCGCATTGGTCCATAATGATACCGATGATTCCAAATACAGTGGGGTATGAACCCGTGCCAGGTGCCACATCTCTGCCAGAGGTTTTCCCGATTCCATCTTCACCTACACGTGAACCCTTAATAAAGACGGGTTAACATAAGCTTAATGGCTGATATGTGACGAGATGACAGGTTACCTTTCCCATTGCGGCCACGGTGTGGCGGGTTCTTCGGTAAACGGCTTGACCGTTTGCGGGTCGTGCGTCCCTGGTTGCACTTACTCTTAGTCTTTCTCATCGCAGTGCTGCTCGTTCCCGTTGTTCTACTTCACCGTTGGCCGTTCAAAAACATGGCCTACCTGCTGACGGTGGGTGGTCTTACATGGCTCGGTTTGGCTCTTGTTGCTTCTTTTGCTTCATCGGTGTTAAAACTACACCGTGCGGGTTGGCCCTTTGGCGTTAGGTGGCGGCGCGATGGGTTGGTTGTGGGGTTCGTTGCATTGTATTGTGTTGATGCCTTTTTCTTTTCGTTGCCTTGGGCTTGATGTTGTTGTATAGTGTAGTTTGGGTTATTATAGCATAGATCACCGCCCTCCATCTTGCGTATTTTTATAGGTTCCAGGGATTCCGTTCGGGAGTCGTTTGCTCTGAGCGTCGTTTACGAGAGCCTCCGTTATCCCTATTAACAGCATGGACTCATTGATGCGAGTTTTTATTTCCCTGTAGAGAGCAGTGTCGCCGTCTGAAATTTCGAGCAGCTCTTGTTTCTAGTATAAACCATCCAGTGATTCAGGCTACAGCATGTCCGGACCTGTAGCCAAGGCTGAAACAGTGATCCTCGAATCAGCCTTAACGGCTGGGAAAACAGCCTCCTGTCCCGCGACACCAAGTGAGAACCATCCATCCCACACTACCCTGAACAAGAGCTGTTGGATTGAATGCCGCACTAGTAAACCTGTCTGGGGGTTCAGACCATGCTCAAGATATGCTCGCATTTGTCCCACCATTCTATGACCTTTCCAGTTAAGAGATGGCTAAGGCACAAAATTTTTTAATTTAGAACTTTTTATCTTACTAAGGTACTTTTTATAAAAGCGAAGTAATAATAGAAGTCTTAGTGCTCTATAGCTAGCTATAGTATACTAAACTAAACTATTTATTAGTGTATTTAGTTTAACTACTCTAGTTGTTTATATTAAGTCTACACTAAGTAATTTAGTAACTTACGAGCGAGTAAGCGACTAGCTAGCCACTTACTAAGGCCTTTCCTTATAGTAATCTATTAAACAGCTATAGTATAAGCTCTCCACTTAAGAGCTATTCTAGATTTTGTCCTACTTAATCACTATACCCCTACCTTAGTTGGCTAGGTCTATCCCTATTTCTAGTACTCCCCTAGCCACTTAGTTAGTATACTAAAGTATCTTAAGTGTATTAGACTAAAGTTATATAGTTATTAGCTAGGCTTCTAGTATAGGAAAGTCTATATTTTAATCTTTAAAGTTTAGAAGAATTAGTATATATACTTATCTATAATCTAAACCACTTATAATAACTATAATAACTAAGAATCCTCTTTAGTAGAGTAAATAATATTAATTTAATTTATTATACTCTAATTAAGTCTTATCTATCTAGTCTTTCTATAAATCTAATAAGGGGGGGAAAAACTAAGTTCTAGTAGAAAACCCCTACTTCTATATTAGTATTACTATAGTACTATATTAGTGGCTATTTAGGGTCTATATAAAAGGTCCTCTAGTAAATCCTAGTTAAAAACTATAGTTAGTGGTGTTACTCGTTTACGCGCGAGTTCCCCTGGCTGGGGCCGCGCCTAGCGGCCCTAATGCAGTCTCACTCTAGTGTTACGAATCAAGAATGTACACAAGGCAGCCAGAAGGCGGCCTAAGGGAGCGACTAAGTGGGAACCTATAAGTCGCCTAATTAGGATATAAGGTTATATAACTAGATCACTAAGGATTATAGTGAGCTAGTAGTG